CCCTGGTTTAGTCCTTGGATAGTCCTGGTTTAGACCTGATCCCAGGACTGAACCAGGACTTGGTGTCAGGACGGGCCCAGAGGTGCACCCGTGTAGACTGTCGGGTGACCACGGGCGAAAGAACCGCACTAATTGTTACCGTTTTTTTGTTTTTTTGTTTTTTCATTTTGGTTTTGGAAACAAATAATGAAGTTTTTTTTTTTGTTTTTTTTTTTGTTTTCTTATTTTCGGTTTTATTTTGAAAAAACGACTGATGCACGGATTTTACACATTTCTTGTTGTGCGTGAGTCTGATTGGGTTTGAGTTGTAAATCTGTGTACAGTCGCTTCGTCCGTCCGTCCCTTTGCTTCAGCACTTCTCCTCGCTGACCCCGGGGTTAATGAAGTGCGTGTGAAGCTCTCTGTGTGGATTAGCCCAGCGCGACGCCAATCTCTGATCCACGGACAAACTGGTGTGTTCCTCGCGCGCTGCCTCCCGTCGTCTCCAACGCAGACACGCTCATACAAACATTCGGACTCTTAGAAATCCCTCCTCTCATCCCCTGTTCTTCTGGATCCCGCTAATCTCCGTGACATAATGAACACGGGACTCTGAACACAGCTACTAAACACTTCTATTATATCACGCGTTTGTTCACAATAGAGCGCTGATAGAAACGGAAGAGGAGGAGGAGGAGGAGGTCGGATTTACAAGCTCACAGCAAGGACATGGAACTGTATGTGTAAATTCATGTGTTTGTTGGAACGTTAAAGATGCAGTATGTTATTGCTTTACCGGGAATGTTCCACAGTGGCCACGTTTACATTGAAAACACTTTAAATCGTCTTTATTTAATTCTGTTCAACGTCTGGAAGTGGAGAAGGTTTCTGATTGGACAGAATGAATTTACATCTACCCATGGATCTATTAAAAGAACTGGAGGGTGTTGTTGCTTGTAGTCTGTGTTGGGAAGGTGACTTTTAAAATATATTCCCCTACAGATTACAGATTACACACCCCAAAAATGTAGTTTGTAACATAATTCATTAAATTACTTAAAGTGAGTAACCGGTAATCTGAATACTTTGGATTACTTGATATTGTCATGCTTTTTAAAACGGCATGAATGTAGCAACCACATCCTGAAAATTCTTGTTTGTTCTCTTCAAATTGTCTGTTGAGCCCAAGTTTCCATGAATAAACAACTGTTTTCTGTAGAGAAGCAAAGACTAGGATATGTTAACATAAGGTGTTCTGTCTGCTAAAAGACAATAAAAGCTCAGTCTTTCCTTAACCAAATTAAAAAATATTTTTGATAGATTATTTTTATATGAGATCACCTTAAATTATGTCCAACCTACTGTTAGGTGTCATATTGTTTAGTCCTGATTTTAGACCTGGTTTAGTCCTAGTTTAGTCCTGGACTGGGTTAGTCCTGGTTTAGTCCTGGACTGGGTTAGTCCTGGTTTAGTCCTGGACTGGGTTAGTCCTGGTTTTAGTCCTGGTTTGGAGGCTCACAGGAGAAGTGCGGTCTACACAGTGTACGCGAGAAAACACGGTCCCCAAGTGGTGAGCGGGAGGACGTCGGTGTCCGTGCAGTAGCTACAGAAGGAGATGTGGTCCACGCATTCTCAGGTTGATGATGATGATGAAGGTGTTTGTGTGTGTTTGTGTGTGTGTGTGTGTGTGTGTGTGTGTGTGTGTGTGTGTGTGTGTGTGTGTGTGTTGTGTGTGTGTGTGTGTGTGTGTTTGTGTGTGTGTGTGTGTGCGTTTGTGTGTGTGTGTGTGCGTTTGTGTGTGTTTGTGTGTGTGTGTTTGTGTGTGTGTGTGTGTGTGTTGTGTGTGTGTGTGTGTTTGTGTGTTTTGTGTGTGTTTGTGTGTGTTTGTGTGTGTGTTGCGTGTGTTTGTGTGTGTGTTTTGTGTGTGTTTGTGTGTGTTTGTGTGTGTTTGTGTGTGTGTGTGTGTGTGTGTGTGTGTTTGTGTGTGTTTGTGTGCGTGTCCCCTCATGTCTCAGGTCACTATAGGACAGTAGTGCAGATTTCATGAGTCTATGCAGGTTGTTTTCACCAGTGCCAGTAGCTCCGGTTTGACATTTAACTTGGACGTGATTTTATATTTATTATTATTATTTTTATATTTCACGTCGGGAGAAGAATTTCCAAGACACAGATGAGTTTTTCCCTGTGCACTGCTGCTCTGTTCTACTGGCTCTTCGACCTCGTCCACTGTGTGACTGACGCCGCCAACGTTAACATGACGTTTACATCGCTCTTACTGCCGCGTTCTGTGTGGGTTTCTGGCAATGAGTGAAATTACCGAAATCAAAAAAATAAATACATGGGATGTAGCACAAAATGTAAAAACAGGAAAATACCGCCTTGTAATCCATTTATTTCAGCAAAGTAACTGTAATCCAATTACCACTCACTGAAACAGTAACTGTAACTGAATACAGTTACTCATAATTTGTAATCTGATTACGTAACGGCGGTACATGTAATCTGTTACTCCCCTAGACTGCTTATAGCTGCCTCCAGTTGATGTAGTGGTCACTCACTGGAACTTCAGCAGAAAAAATTCCCTGGGCTGAGACAAGATTTTTTCATACAGCTCAATGTAATACAGAAACAAACTGCTCGTGTTCGACTGACTTGACACCTACAACTTTAAAAAATGTCGGATTTGTTGCCGATTTTAATCTATTTTTATATCATAAACTTTTTCTCAGCTCAGAATCCTTCAGTTGTCTTAAAAAACGCTTTATATTTGTTCGTTCCGGCTCCGCTCTAGCTTGTTTTGCTCTGATTGGTCAAAGCGATCATGTAATACACAAGACCATGCTCCGTGTGTGTGCTCGTGTGCATTGGCGTGTGCCTGTAGGAGAAAAGAACACTACTGCACATGCTGGGTGGGCCCACAGCCACCAGAAGTACCTCTCCAGGTTAAAGGTGAATCTGGAGTCATGCGCCATAGAGCTTGGCCCTTTGACTTGAATGGGCAGTCATTTTGAAACCCCGGGGCTTGCGTCTACTGAAAGAAAACACACACCTCAACTGCTACCGACTTTTTTCTCATCTCGATTTGTCGTTACGCCACGGACACAAACATGATCCAAACTTTTTCCGCAGTTGTTCCGATGATAATTGCACAACAGCTGGAGAATTCTCTCATGGTAAATGGTCACATTTTTCTATAGCACTTTTCCACCTTCAAGGCACTCAAAGCACTTTACAACAAGGAACCACTCACCCATTCACACACACATTCACACACAGTGTACACAGACACTGTGGGCAAGGTGGGTTAAGTGCCTTGCCCAAGGACACAACAGCAGCATTCATCTGTGGGAGCTGGAATCACACCAGCCAACCTGTGGGTCAGTGGATCTGACCACTCAACCTGTGATGTTTATGTCGAGAACTGGATTCAAACCGCCAACCTTTAGATCAGTGGGCGAATGCTCTACCAACTGAGCTCCTGCCGCCCCAAAGCTCTCATCTCGCTTTACGTCTGTCAGCTGAGGAAGAGGAGGGAAGTGTGTCGGAGAAGGGAGGAAGAAGAAAAACTGAGGCTACGTTCACACGACAACGCTCCTGGATTTATTTTTTTGTGGGTTGAAAAAAATTTGCATCCACATGTGTTGGATCAATAAATATTCACGTCCAGACGACAACAGAGCACTGAGTGAAAATGATGTGATACATCTGCCGCACCTGTATGTGGTGCTGTAAACAGGATACAGCCAGAGCCACTGGACACACAATACTACAAAGAGCACATGTGTATAAAGTCCTTCCTGCGCGAGGTTCTCTTCTGCTCACGTGGTGATGACGGGGTCGCGACGTCATCATTTTCCAAAAGCTGTGGTTTGCTTGTCCCCTCCAAAGAGCAGTGGATGAAAGTCCGAAGCGAGCAGCGTTGGTACCGGATCGTCTGGATCGCGTCAGAAGGGCGACCGAACAAGCACACACTGAAAGATTGGAATTTTTAAGAAGGAAAAATGTTTACATGATCCAGGAATGCATGAATTCGGCTTTAAAATAAACCACACACTTACTTCGGAATTAAATTTAATTCCAAATAATCATTTTCATTAGGAAGTGTTTGCATGATCTTTTTAAAGTGGAAGTAATTTTTATTCAGAATTAAATTAATTTTTATTCGTAATTCAAGCAAATATGTAACTAACGAGGGGTATTTTACTTATCTGAGGTATTACTTAACATATTTAGATCAAAGTGTTACCGTTTATTGTTTTGAAAATCCTATATTCACCAAAAATCAACATAGTGACAAGTTTTATAAAATTCACTTCTCTTTTTGCTGCTCTGAGTCTCCCCTCCTTTTGCTCCCTCTGCTAAGTCACTCCCACTTCAGAGCACGAGAGATCCGTCAAGTTGCAGTGGACAGTTTTGTATCATGTTTTTGTATATTTATAGAGAACTGTAAAGGGACTTTGAGTAGCCCAAGCCCAAGAGAGCCTAAGAGAGATCCCTAGATTACTGAAACTGCTTTAGGCTGCATGTTTTTGATGAAGGAGCAACATTATAACATGGTAGAGAACACCTCAGCAAACAAGTTATGCCTTAAAAAAGTTGGTCCTGCGGCACAGTTTTGTATATGCACATAAGGTTGGTAGTTCAATCCCCACACTCATTGTACTGCGCTGTGACAAGACACTTCCTCCAACTTACACAAATGTGAGTGTGTGGTGGTTGGAGAGGTCGCTACTTCTGTCATGATTTAAAAACCTCTAAAACTCAAGAGAATATCCAACCGACATTCCACAAAAGTTCTAGCTTCAACTGTAAAATTTAAATGTTGTAGAGTTTTTATCTTACTTCTTTAATTGCCTCCACTTGTGATGTTTCTTCTTGCTCTCTCGTCCTATTGACCTCCACACCTCCCCCCGTACACACACCCTCTTTCTCTCTCTATCCCTCTGTCTTTCATCTGTCTCCTCTCTCTCTCTCTGTATCACACTCCTCTTCTATTCTGACCTCTCTCTCTTTTCTTTCAGATGAGATCGACATGTTGGAGAGGCTCTGGTTGTCCGGGATCTGCCACAACGACAAGATCGAGGTATGAATCAGATATTTTTAAAGATGGACTGTGTAACTTTTGTAGAGGATGGTGCACCACTTTCTTGTCTTTAAAGGGACAGTCTAGAACTTTGGACATAGGACCTCATTTCCTAGTGAACCAGAGTGTTGGAGACGTGTGGAGACACTTTTTTAAATATTCCATTCAGTGCTTGTATTTGCAGAGGTCGCTGGTGCTAGGCTAGTGCATGTCAATAGCCACAGTTATCCTGTCGCTAAAAACAGTCTTACTCACTCCACAAAACACCCGGAGAAAATCTATTATTACACCAGACTGTCCATGTAAATGTCTGTGTCAATAGAATAATTTTAGAAGTAAAACCAACCTTGTATTTGAAGGATTTATGTCTGAGCAGCAGCAGTGAGTTGTACTTCCTGATAGAAAGCTTGGCAGCGGTGGACTGATATCACTCAGCACCTATCTTTCCGGCAAAGTAAAATTCCGCTGCTGCTGATAAAATAGTCCCTCAACATGTGACGATTCATGCGATGCAAGGTTAGTTTTATTTCCAACATTATTTTATCAACACAGACATTCACATGGACAGTCTGGTGTAATAATTGTTTTGCTTTGGGTGTTTTGTGGAGTGGGTAAGACTGTTTTTAGTGTCAGGCTAACTATGGCCATTGACATGCACTAGCCTAGCACCAGTGACCTCTGCAAATACAAGGACTGGATGGAATATTTTAAAAAGTGTCTCCACACGTCTCCAACACTCTGGCTCACTAGGAAATGAGGTCCTATGTCCAAAATTCCAGACTGTCCCTTTAACAGTTATTTCCTGCACTGAAACGGAGCAAAGGATCATGGTCTATGTAGTTCTCATTGTTTTTGCTGTTGCTGCGCCGTAACCACGATATTATTTTGATTATTTTGACTTTGATGATACGATATCACGATATTTCCATTGTTGTTACATCCCTATTTGCAAACACAGGCCAAAAATGTTTTAAGATTTTAGACACAAAGAAATCCAGGCATTCCAAATGCTCCAAACAGCCACATTTTTTTTTTTTTTTTTTTTCTGTCTGAAATTGTTTGAAATCTCAAGAAAAAATACAAAATGGATTTAAACAGCACATTTTCAGGAGCCTGCGATGTTATTTGAGAGGGTCTTGTTTAACAGCACAAATCAACTTGCCTGTTGTAGTTCCAACTAAATCAGCTCTTTCTCGTGCATTCAAAATAAACCTCAGATTAAAGTCTCACTTGAGTCACAGAGTTTCAGACAGAACAGAGCCCTCAGTTAGCCCCCAGAAAATGTTGACGACATCGGCTGCAAGGTATCGTCTGAACATAATGAATCATCACAATTCTTTATTACCTTTTCATAATCAAACTTTTTAAATGCGTTAGCAATATTATAAAAAATACGTTTTAATTAACTTATATTCAGACTTTTCTGTGTTTCATTTTCACTCTTTCCAAACAGTAGCAATTGTTGAGTTCATTCGCTGTGCATGGCTCATGACTCATTATCACCTCCGACCTCACCTGCATCTGAGCTAGAACAGGGTGAAGTTATCTCTGGCAACTTTAAATTAATGTGTTTCTCCCGTATATTTACATGTTTTATATTTACACAGTGTAAGAAAATGAGTCCTCTGCATTTCAAGTTCAAGTTCAAAGTTCAAAAAGTTTATTGTCTAGTTACTCGTTACTCTTTCAGCCCTGATCTAGTCATGGTTGCGTCCTTGTCCAGACCTGGTTCACCCTTGGTTTAGTCCTGGTTCAGTCCTGGTTTAGTCTTGGTTCAGGCCTACGTCAACCCTGATTTAGGCCTGGTCTAGTCCTAGTTCAGTTCTTGTTTAGACCTTGTTCACCTCTGGTTTAATCCTGGTTTAGTCCGGGTTCAGTCCTTCTTCAGATGTGGTTCAGGTCTGATTTTATCTTGGTCTAGTCCTGTTTCAGTCCTGGTTCAGACCTGGTTTAGTCCTAGTCTAGTCCTGGTGTAGATCTAACATACATCGACATTGAAACCCTATGCATGCTGTAGGTTTAGAGCTGATGTAGTCCTGGTTTAGAGTTGATTTAATCCTTGTTTAGTCCTGGTTTTGATCTGATTTAGTCCTGGTTCAGTCCTGTTCAAGAGCTGATTTAGTCTTGGTTTAGTCCTGGTTTAGAGTTGATTAAATCCTGGTTCAGTCCGGGTTTAGAGCTGATTTAGTCCTAGTTTTGAGCTGATTTTTTCTGGTCCAATTCTGGTCCAGTTCTGGTTCAGTCTTAGTTCAGACCATCTCCACATCCTGACCTAGTCTTGGTCAGGACTACCTTCTCTGGAGAATTTGACCTATTCATACTTCATGGTAAAATCACACTGAGAGGGTCTACATGTATGTCTATGGTGGAAAGTTCACAAGTTACCATGGCGACACAATGCACACGTTAACAAACGCTGCTAAAACTTTTGAAAACAGTCTGAAGCTCAAGAAAAAATTGATTTAAAAAGCACATTTTTCAAGAGCCTGTGATGAATTGGAGTGTTCATGGTCCTGTTTAGGAGGATCCAAAGATCGGTACTTGAACCCAAAACCTTCCTGTGGTGAGGCGAAAGTGGAAGGTGGCTGTTTTGTTTAGTTTTATCTCTTGCGCACTGATGGTTAGTGCAACATGCGCTAACAGGAAAAGCCTTTCTCTGTGTCCTGTTTGTAATTAACTTCACCCCAGTGTCTCTAAAACTAATTGGTTTTCGGTGAGAATTACAGCTCATTTTCTTGTGTCATTTATCCACGTCTGTTTACTCGTACAGTCTACACTCACTGCATGTTTTAGATTGTGTAAAGTCAGAAACAACAGCAGTGGGGATTATGAGCACTACAGGTGTAATTGCCTGACATGTTCAGAATTCAGAATGTAAAATTGTACAAAAGAGTACTTCAAGATAATATTACTCAAGCAGAAGTACAAAGAAGTGGCGCAAGTAACAGTGAAATAGTACTGCATTTGGAAAAATTATTACTCAATTAAGAGTAAAAGCCGCCATACACTACAGGAGAATTTGCCCGATTTTGGCTGCAATTTCGTCTCCTTGAGTTCAGGGACGTGACTCGACTTTGTGTCTTCGTGTACAATGTCGAAGCCTCGGTGATCTGTGTATCATTCGTTCATTCGTTTTTCAAAATAAAACCAAAAATAAGAAAACGAAAAACAATAATTTTCTTCATTATTTGTCTCCAAAACCAATATGAAAAAATTGATAACGATTCATTTTTTTTTCAGTTTTTGATTTTGTGATTAAATGAATGATGGAAAAACAGATAACAGCTGTTTCCTGTTTCTGTGACTTAAACTGCAACTGAACCAGGACTGAACCAGGACCAAATCAAGTCTAAACCAGGACTAAACCTGGTCTAAACCAGAACTGAACCAGGAGTAAACCAGGTTTTAACCAGGACTAAATTGGTCTCAGTCCCGGTCTCAGTCCCGGTCTCAGTCCCAGTCTCAGTCCTGATCTGGTCCCAGTCTGGTCCCGGTCTGAGTCCCGGTCTGTCCCGTCTGGTCTCCAGTCTCAGTCCCTGGTCTGGTCCCGGTCTGTTCTCAGTCTCAGTCCTGGTCTCAGTCCTGATCTGGTCCTAGTCTGGTCCCGGTCTCAGTCCCAGTTCTGTCCTGATCACCTGACAGTCTATGCAGGTGCACCTCCAGGCCAGGCACACTCAGTCCTGGTTCAGTCCTGGTTTAGTCCTGTTTTAGTCCTGGTTCAGTTTAGTCCATAAGCGGCGCAGAAGTCCGGCATCACAGTTTAACTCGCGGAAACGGGAAACGTTACCCGTTATCCATTTTTTAATTTCAGTTTTGGAGACAAATAATGAAGAAAATAGAAAATTTTTTCGCTTTCTTATTTTTAGTTTTATTTTGAAAAACAAATGAATGATACACGAACACAGGGAAAATACCGTATCGGATTTTTGACAGTAAAGTCGCATCTGTGAATTCGTAATCTTACTAAAGAAAGCGTAATCGTAAATTTTCATTTCGTGATTGTAATTCTTGATGTTATAACTTTTCAATTTGTATTCTTATGAATTAAATAAACACAACACATTTTATGTACGACTGGACTCATTTGAGAGTTAACAAACATTTATTTTATGCTCAAGAACCCTATGCACACGTATATTTCTGAAAGCGTTCGTACTCCATACTCATTCGTCACACATCAGTTTGAACAAAAGTAAACTTCTCTTATCTCAGAGTTTACTTCTTTGCTTATTGATTCTACAAAATATGCAATGTTTCTGAGTCCTTTATTATACTGTCATTATAGTCCATTTTAGTTCACTGTTTTCGTTTCTTTTTTCCTCGTCTGCAGCCGTGTTTGTTTGTATCTGTCTCTTATTGGCTAATCCACCTGTCAGTCTTCGCAAAGTATTGGAGTTGGTGTTTTCGGGATCCCAGTCAACAGGAACATCATTGTAGGAAGGAACTACATAGACCATGCTCCTTTGTTTTCAGTGACTGTGGCTTCAGGAGACGTGCAGGTGGAGTTATTATTATTGTGTGAACCTATGTGAACCTGCAGAACATTGTGCTGGATGTGACAGACAGCTAGCAGCTAAGCGAGCGTGAAAGCAGCAGGTGTTTTATAGAGAAACAGTAGGATTTCCACATACCTCTGCCTCTTTCTTCTATATGGAAATGTGGAAATTGCATTGGAATTTGAGGTGCATAAAATGACAATGACAACACGAGTTTTAAAGGACACCAGGACCTACAGTATATTACACAAAACTGACTCTTTTAAGCCTTAAGTCATGTTATAATGTCGTTAACTCCTCGAAAACAGACCTGGAGTTGTGTTTTATGACGTAACAAAATAGTGTAATATGGCACCTTTAATGCTAAACAGTAATTCAAAAATGTTTAACATCAAAGTGAAATAGACCAAGACTTATCTGAACTAAACCAAATCCTGGACTAAATCAGGAACAAAAAACAAATCTAAACTGTGGATCTTAAACTTTTCACACCAAGTTCCACCAGATTTGAACCAGTAAGATTAAAACAGGTGTAAAATAGGACTAAATCATGACTAAACTAGTTCTAAGTCCTAAGAAGAATAACAAAAAAAAGTAAAAAAGTAAAACATAGGAAAAACAAAAAAGGAATACATAGAGCTGATTTAGTCCTGGTTTAGAGCTGATTTAGTCCTGGTTTAGAGTTTATTTAGTCCTAGTTTAGAGTTTATTTAGTCCTGGTTTAGAGCTGATTTAGTCCTGGTTTAGAGCTGATTTAGTCCTGGTTTAGAGCTGATTTAGTCCTGGTTTAGAGCTGATTTAGTCCTGGTTTAGAGCTGATTTAGTCCTGGTTTAGAGTTTATTTAGTCCTGGTTTAGAGCTGATTTAGTCCTGGTTTAGAGCTGATTTAGTCCTGGTTTAGAGTTTATTTAGTCCTGGTTTAGAGCTGATTTACTCCTGGTTTAGAGCTGATTTAGTCCTGGTTTAGAGTTTATTTAGTCCTGGTTTAGAGCTGATTTAGTCCTGGTTTAGAGCTGATTAGAGCTGATTTAGTCCTGGTTTAGAGCTGATATAGACCTGCTTCAGATCATCTCCAGATCTTAAAATGTAAACAAATGTGCATAAACCTGCATTAAACACATTATTACTCAATGTATATTTGAGTCCTCCTTGCAGGAAAGAACAAAACAAAAAAAACTTAAATGATCCACCCACATTCACATTCATAATACACATTCACCAAGACAGGAATTATGCTGAATTATGCTACGATCTGCCAATGAATCATGGACACCTGGGCTAAGGATCGCTTAATGAACCTTATCATTCGGTGCACCTTATAGTCTGAAAAATACGGTACCTTCTTTTTATATTTTGAAATATACATTGCAATTTGGGGTGCATAATGTGACAATACTGCACCAGGAGAGTTCAATCCAAAAAAATATATAAAAAATTGGATAGCTCTGGCATATTTACTTTGAATTGTTGAATAATATGAACTATCCCTGAATAAAAAGAAAAATGAAATAAAATGAAAAGAAATTAAATAAAATTATATGAAATGGAATAAAATAAAATAAAACTAAATCAAATAAAACTAAATAATGGTGTCTCCATCTATCAAAACTCCCTTTCCTGGTCTAGACATCATCCAAACCGTAGTGAGATATCTGTGCATTATTGAAACCACCCTGATCCTATTCTTATCTGTTTTCCATGTCCCGCTGCCGTCCCCGCCGCGCGCCGCTGCCCCCTGCAGGTGATGAGCAGTAAGCTGGACATAGACAACATGGCGGGGGTCTTCTACATGCTGCTCGTGGCCATGGGGCTGAGTCTGCTCGTGTTCGCCTGGGAGCACCTGGTCTACTGGAAACTCCGGCACTGTGTCCGGAGGTCTGGAGGAATGGACTTCCTTCTGGCTCTGAGCAGGGTGAGTAATAACAGTAGTAATAGTAGTAGTTTTAGCAGATTCAAAGTTTAGATTCATCATTTAGTAAAGTAAAAAAGACAAAAATGGACTAGATAAAAGTTCAAAGGTTCTATATTACACTAAATACACTCTTGTGAGCTTTAAGCCATGTTATAATGCTGTTTCCTCCTCAAAAACTTACCTGGAGATTAATTTATTATTAGTCTGTCTACATCTCCAAAGCTCAAAATGCTCTGCTCCACCTTGTGATGTCATGAAGCAGTAATTTTCAAGTTAACAGCTGCTTTTACCGTTTCTGCCCTACAAAGGCAAAAGATCTTAACTCCAGAGTGTGAAACTGAGAAAAATGACTTCAAAGTTTCTGTTTCGTTCAGAAAAAGGTTTAATAGGTTGGGCTCCCAAAATTTGACAACTAGGTGCTATAATGAAGAAATATTTGTATGTGAAATATACTGAGCTCAACCTTTATTTGTCAGTTCCTGTACTCTGCCTTTGCATCATGAGCCAAAAATAAGGAGTCGTGCAAAGATGATCATTGTTTGCTTGATTTTCTTCAAACTTCCATCCATTATAAGAACATCTCACCAAGCTCTAGTCATCATGGTGTTTGAAATGATCCAGAAGAACTTTGGATTTCATGTTTAGCGCTGATCAGGATCGTGCGGTGACACTTAAACACTTAAACCAGGCATGTCCAGACTATGGCCTATGAGCCAAATGCGGCCCTTAGACAATTTTTTTTTTTTTTTTTTTCGGCCCTTAGGCTTCCAGGAGAATTGGCCCAAATTACCTTGCATCAATGAAAAATGTACTTTTTTATTTCAAGTTTTTATGAAAATCTACTTTGATAAAGCTAATATTGAATATTTAGTGTGTGATTTTAAGGATCTTAGCATGAATAAAGGACCGATGGCTCAATCTAATGTGTCAAACATGCACATATTTCAATTATCACTGTAATGAGCTCCAGTCTACAGCCTCGATCAGCCTTCTGCTTCATCTGTGTTTAAACATGTGGCCCTTGATGAAAAAGGTTTGGAAACTCCTGACTTAAACAGTTTGACACATAAGTGACTTTGCAGTATAGTATGTACAGTACGAATAAATACACCAAATGCTTTCACATTAAAGATGATTTAAGTATAACTGAATAAAAAGGTGTATTTATTGAAAGTTTTAAGACCCTGTACCAAGGCCGCAACAAAAAGAAGGAGGCAAGAGGTTGGATTTTAAAATAAAATATATTTATGAACTAAATCACAAACAAAACACACACTGTTTCTGCCTTTAGTCTTTGCACGATTCCTTATTTTTGGCTCATGATACAAAGGCAGAGAACAGGAACTGACAAATAAGGGCCAAAGATCAGTTTTGAATTCAATTTTTTTCATAATATTTATTCACATGATAAAGGACGTCTTAAATACAAACAAAATGACATGAACTCCTTTTTGGCCAAACATGATGATACGGCGATTTGCGTTTGTATGGCAGTTTAGTTCAGTAGAGATCGGCAATTCCAGGGCTGAAATCATCCAAATGATTCCAGTGAAGGAATCGCTTCCCTCTGTTCTATTGTTATTACTGTAAATTGCCTTTCAAGATGAAATGGTCTCTGATTTTGTAAAATAAATTTCCACAAAAAAGGTGCGACTTATATATAGTCCAAAAACTACGGTACTCAAACATGTGTGAACAAATCAAAACTCTGGGTATGGTTTTGAAGAGATAACAACATTATAACTATTTAAACTCCACAAAAGTCCATTTTGTGTAATATAGAGGCTTTGCACCGTCATGTGACCCCTATAGCAATGGTACCTACGCCGCCATGACACTGGACATGCTGTGCCATTGACTTCAGTAGCAACGGAGAAACATGGGCAGGTTTTGTTGTGTATTTGGTTGTTCTAGACGCTCTGAAAACGAATCATTTCTTCACTATTCCTCTGGAAATTACTCATCAGGAGCTCAAACAAGGGAATTATCAAAAAAAGATGCGGATTATAGCAAAAATAAACCGCAAAGAGATTTCCTTTGGTACCATCAAGACACCCAAAGTTTCATCAAGGTATTTGCTATTTAAATAGTTTCATAGCTTATTTAATGAAAGAAGCACATTTACTGAACTAAAATTTCATTAATTTATCCAGGAAAACCCGCACTAGTTTACGATTCAACGACCTCACATTGGGCTCCTATAATCAACATGGCGAAGAGTCTGTGAGCCGAACCTCAAAAGAATCCTTGTGAATGTTAGAAAGATCCTCTCACAAAAAGCGATTCATTCTAGAAGACATAGTTGTAGTTAAGCAAGACAATAAAGAAAACATGGGTCCTACGACGTGTGACATGTTTATATGTGCGATGGAAGATACAGTTTCTACTGCCACTCACACTGCAAATGTTTTCTTTTTCAATTTTAGTTCAGTAAATGTTCTTTTCTCACTAAATAAGCTATGAAACTATTTAAATAGCAAATACCTTGATGAAAGTGACGTGAGGAAATCTCTTTGCTGTTTATGTTCTCGTTTTTTTTTTGTTTTTTTTTCGATAATTCCCTTGTTTGATCCTGATGAGTAATTTCCAGAGGAACAGTGAAGAAACAAAATGTTTTATCCCGTTCAGAGCGTCTACAACAACCAAATACACAACAAAACCTGCCCATGTTTCTCCGATGCTGCTGAAGTCAATGGCATAGTGTACTCGGTGTCATGGCGGTGTAGTTACCGTTGCTATCGGGGTCATGTGACGGTGCAAAGCCTCTATAGAATCTTTAACTTGCCTATAAAACCATTGCGATAACAAGATAGCAGATCCTTCACCATAAAATAGTACTTAGTGCATCTTTAAGCGAGTGTTTTGGAGAGCTGATGTGTCTATCTGGTACACAGTGTGAAATAAGGACAGCCCTAAACACGCTCTGACGGACTGTCGAGATCACAGAGACGAAAATGTGGTTTGGGGCTAGAATGTTTTTATTAATAAGAGTCTGAGCACCCAGCTGTCATCTTGTCTTTTTGCACTCGCAGAATTCTAAAAGGCAGAGTGGAACGCCTGTGGACAAATACTGAGAGACGTGACCGATCTGAGAAATGAAAGATCAAATCAGAATCACTTGAGATTTTGCAGTGGTGAGATTGGTCAGACAACAGTGGAGGGAGACGTAGGCCTGGAATTCCACACACGTTTTTGCTCTACTGCCCCTGTAATTATTCACACAGATAGAGCGATAGTCTGGTTTAAATTGTGATTCAGTTTTTTATAGTTTGGTTCTAAATGGATTTTTACAGACTCATTCGCCCCAGGATTAAACTCTGTACCTCATTTTTTCTCATTTGAGCACATTTTGTCTTGCCTATAGGGTGACCAGGGTGACCAAAACTAGGACACACCCTGGTCTGTATGGTTGGTATGAATAAAATTGTAAAAAGAGACCATAACATTGTCCATTCTCGACTTAATTTTGGATAAATATGGTACGACGGAGTATAAGGGTCAGATTAAAAAAAATAAATAAATGATGCTGGCGCTACGAGAATAAAGTCGTAATATTATGAGAATAAAGTCGAAGCCAGAAAAAGTCACAATTTTACGAGAATAAAGTCGAAGTTAAAATAAAGTCGTAATATTATGAGAATAAAGTTATAATATTATGAGAATGAAGTCGTAATAAAATCAAAGTCAAAGTGAAAAATGCGGCAGAAGAAGAACTTTGTTTTTCAATATAAAAACAAAAATAAGAAAACAAAAAAACAAAAATTTTCTTCATTATTTGCGCCTCCGGACTGAACCAGGACTGAACCAGGGACTGAGACCGGGACCAGACCAGGACCAAATTGTGATACCGGGACCAGACCGGGATTGAGACCGGGACCAGATCAGGACTGAAAACGGTTTAGTTCTGGTTTAGTCCTGATTCAGTCCTGGTTCAGTCCTGGCAGTCCGTATGCGGCACAATAGTCCCACATCGCATTTTAAAGTCTCCCATTTCCATCACTTAAACCAGGACTAAACCAGGACTAAACCGGTTTCAGTCCTGGTCTGATCCCGGCCTCAGTCCTGATCTGGTCCTGGTCTGGTCCCGGTCTCAATCCTGGTCTTAATTCTGGTTTGGTTCCAGACCTGATTTAGTCCTGATTCCGTCCTTTTTCAGTCGAATGAACAAATGATACATGGATTCTTCTCCTTTTCAAAATGCTCCAAATTCTCCATAGTGCACCAGCCTCAGACTCATTCAGACTTTCCGAACAGCCTATATTCTCGTAATATTACGACTTTATTTTGACTACGACATTATTCTCATAAAATTACTACTTTGTTCTCGTAAATTTACGACTTTATTCTCGTAATATTACGACTTTAATGTCGAAATGTCAAATGTTTGTCTCCGTGGAGATGCTGTTGCTTTGTCTGGAAGGTTTCACAGGTTACACGTCAGATCTGTGGAGAGGCAGAGAGCTGTGGAGAGCTATAAAATCAATTGTAATTGAATAAATGTAAGGTAAAGCTGTTTAATGTCGTACTGTGGAACATTCCAAGCAGAGCAATGGTCATACCGGTTTGTCAAAGCTTGATCCCGTCAGATTTCAGAAGTTCAGCAGGGCCGGGCCTGGTCAGTACTTCGATTGGAGGCCAGTGGGAAAATCAGGTGCCACAAACTTACTTACTTCCATATTCATAGAAACAAGCAGGTGATGGACCCACACCAAAAAGTTACGTAGTGCACCTTTAACCCATGACAGTGTTTGCCCCTTTTACTGTTGCCGAGGATCAGATTAGTCAAAAATAGGGACACCTGGGACATTTTTTGTATAAAACTGGGACAAATCTGCTGGGTAAATAGGGACGTCTGGTCACCTTAATTTTTCTCCCTGTACAGACATATTGTACAAGTGCGTGTTAGCATGCTAGTTGCTTATAAATTCATTGTGTAGTTTTTCTCGTTTTTAAAGGTGCACTGTGTAACTTTTCTGGCTGAGGTAACATTATTGCATGTT